GCAGCTCTTCAACTTGCGTAAATTCTGTATTTGAATAAATCGCACTAAGTGTTACGAGGATATTGTAAATCAGCTGATTTGTTGCCTAAGAGTTTTGTCTCCTTGAATCAAGATTTATGCCTTGGTCTTGATATTTTGCCTGTCTTTCTGACATGGCGTTGACAGCATGTGAATCTAATATCCTACAAGCTTTTTCAAAAAACAAATACAAAGACTTATACTTGTAATTTCTTCATGAGTTATCTCATATATATATATATATATAATATATATATAATATATATATATATATATATAATAATATATATAATAATATATATAATAAGCCGTGTGGAAAGGCAGCAGAAAAAGCATCAACAAAACCCTCATTATCCCGCTGCCTAGTCCTTCATTTTCAAATAATTGTAAAATGTAATTCGGACAGAATAACGACGTTTCATGCATACACAGTATTCAAATGATGTAAATTGTGAGTACCAGGTGGCTTATGAATAAAACAGTTCCATAGTATTGCCAGTATGGGAATTTAATATGCTACATATGTTGTGAACAAGCTTCTTCAGATGAAACGATATGCAAAGACATGTGTAATTTCTTCATGGTGATTTTTTTTTTTTTCAAAAAACGAAACAAATATTGGAGATAAAGCAGCAACAAAATCCTGCTGCCTAGTCCGACATTTTCAATTATTTATGAAATGTAAGTTTTCGCACGAATCATCTCGACCATTGGTGATGATTCTGACAGAAGAATGACATGTTTCTGGCATATATTTAAATGATGTAAATTGTGAATACCAGGTCGTTTATGAATAAAACAGTTCCAATGAACGATTAGTTGATTTTAGTTTAATAGTACAAAGTATAAGGCATACTGTTTGCTCGCAGTTTGATACATTGTTTTTCTTTTTTATGATTATAAGGTATGAGAGAGAAAGGGGGAGAGGAGAGGGAAGTTGAGAGAGTAATGTAGAAGGAGAGAGAGGGAGAGAGAGATAGGAAAAAAGGGAGAGTGAGAGAGGAAAAAGATGGGAAAGATTGAAGAAGGGAGGTGAATCGATGAGAGAGAGAGAGAGAGGTATGGAGTAAAAGAAAGTAAATGGTAGAAGGAGGGAACGCAGAAACTAATGCATGTCTCTCTTTGTACGTTTGTGTGTGTGTGTGTGCTTGAGAGAGAGAGAGAGAGAGAGAGAGAGAGAGAGAGAGAGAGAGAGAGAGAGAGAGAGAGAGAGAGAGAGAGAGAGAGAGAGATTATAGAAAGACGTTTTAACCTGAAACACTCATAAAAACGGATAAAGGTAGTTCCGCGCGTAAAAGAACAAACGTAATACTGTCACTGATTCAGACAGGCAAATAGCAGCCCACAGAGGGTACAGGGATGCGGGGATTAGCTCAGCTGGTTGGAATGAAAGGCAGGCTTGTTGATCAAACGGAATGTAAACAAAAATGCATTGGGGGAAGCCTGGAAGCCAGCGTGGTTGAGATACACAGCTCAAATGCCATTGTTACAATTAACTTCATAACTCATTATCATGCTGTGTTATTAATAATGAACTTTTATTTCGTAGAAAAACTGAGTCGGTGAGTGTACTCTTCTAACAGCATTTCGGCAATGAGATGCTCAAGCTTTAGAAGAACCGAATCAATATTACTGAAAGAGCTTTTAATGTTATATACAAGTATACCATATTCACGGCTAAATGAAGTGGGTTAACAAACAAAGTATGACATCACAAACTGCTATTCAACTTGAAAACTAATCTACGGCAGATCCCGACATGTTTCAGTGTCTTTGGGGGATGTGTTGGTCGCTTACAGATAACAATCGTTTTATTGTATATGTTCAGGAGAGAACCAAGTGGTGTGGTATTGGATAGTTAATCTAAAGTACAGCAGCCAGGTTTTTTTCAGGATTTGGAAATTATCATTGCCTATAGGTAAAATAAATAACGTGTTATAGTACGTGCGTCTATTTATTATATACAGTAATATAATCCATAATTCATTCGGTGTGGTTCTATGTATATCTAATGTATAGTCGAAGCAACTATCTACTTCTCCGCCTTCTTGGGGAGGAGCACAGCCTGGATGTTGGGCAGGACACCGCCCTGGGCGATGGTCACGCCAGACAGCAGCTTGTTGAGCTCTTCGTCGTTACGGATGGCCAGCTGCAAGTGGCGGGGGATGATGCGGCTCTTCTTGTTGTCACGGGCTGCATTTCCTGCCAATTCGAGGATTTCAGCTGCAAGATATTCCATGACAGCAGCCATGTACACAGGAGCACCAGCGCCTACGCGTTCCGCGTATTTCCCTTTACGCAGAAGGCGGTGAATCCTTCCGACAGGAAACTGAAGGCCGGCCTTGCTGGAGCGGGACTTGGCCTTGCCCTTCGCCTTGCCGCCCTTTCCACGTCCAGACATGACGACGCTTTGCTTGCAGGAGGAGGAAACCTTGACAGCTTTCAGACGAGACTGAATGATTGGACAGCGATTCAGCGAATT